TATACAGAGAAGCATTGAAAAAAACCCCAAACAAATAAGAGAACTCCTTCAGTGGTTGCACCTATTGAATGGATTTGCTCCCATTTTGTCTGTGGGGTCTGGAGGGTGGAGGAGAGGAGAGGCAGGGCTGGCAGTGGGACCTCAGGCAAGGAGGGACTGGGCTGGGCTCATGAGGAGCCCTGGCTGAGCTCATGGCTCTGTTAAACTTGAATTCTGTGTCAGAACAGGCTGGGGTTCAGCAGGGATTTCTGCTACCACTCACAGCTGGTGGGTTTAACATCTAAATACAATCATACTGCCCACAGAGTGTCTGCTAAAATGGATGGAAATCTGTTTGTTTGGTTTTTTTTTTTGAAATTTGAGGATCAGGCTTGTAGCTACTCCCTGGAAGGATGAATTGCTATTCTGGCTTTGAGTACCAGCTTTGTGCCTTGTGTTTTTGCCCTGCCTTAGTCATGTTAGTCTGAGAGAGGGAGACCCACACCATATTTGAATATCACCAATGTATTTCCTGGGGCTATATAATGGAGAACAGCAATGAGCTTGGCTCATTTTATCAACAAATTCTGTTTGACTGCACAGACTGACTGTGGTAGAGCTGCCTGGTTGAAAGGAAAGCAGAGCTGAGCAGAGGAGCTCAGTTTGTACCTGCTCAGGGCTGGAGAGGAGCCCAGGGCTCATTGCTCAGCAAAGCCAGGCCAGGCACTGTCCAGTTCCTTCTGTGCTCTGTCCTCTGATACCAGAGACCCAGGCCCTGCAGCTCCTGTGAGTAACACAGCACTAGCTCATCCCAGGGATTGGTAAATCCAGTGAAAATGCTGGCTCCAGAAAGGCCCAGGAATGCAGCAGCCTATGCTACTGCCTTCCTACTGCTTCACAGCTTTCCACACTGGAGTATTTTGCTTGCTTTATGCAACCACTATTTATTATTTAAATGATGAATCTGGAAGATTTCCCAGATCTAATGTCTGCCCCATTACTTTATGTCATGGATACTGCAGATAATCAGATGAGCAGTAAATCTACTCTGTGGAATAGAATTATTTTTTTTTTCCCCCTGTAAAACAACTTGTGAATGATTTTTCTTTTCTTCACTCCCATAAAATACCTAATAGGTAAAAAAAAAAATCAGTGTGCCAAATTCACAGTTGTTCCACATGTATCTCTAAGTGATGCATCTGCAGAAACACCCCTGGGAGTGTGTTTATCTCAGGTAACAGGAAAGATTGTGTGAAATAATCCCTAGCACTGGTACTTTCAGTTGGGTGGGTGCAGGGACATACTCTGGTTTGTGTTTGGTTCTTTTTCTTTGTTTAGGTGAGGGTTTTTAGCTTTGTTTGGTTTTTGGTTGGTGTTTATTTTAGCCAGGTTTGATGGTGCTGTTTCTCCACTCTCTCGGATTGTTTCTGACGTCTTTCCTGAATTTCTCTGGAGCAAGACCACCCTGCTGAGCAGTGAGGGGATGTTTGCCAGTGCCCTGGGTGTTGCTGAGCTGCTGTTGGGTGCTCTGGCTCTCAGCACAGCAGTGCCAGGGGCTCTGGGGCTCCTGGGGAGGCACAGGGGGTCACATCTGCTGCCACACTGAGCCCACGTAGCTCTCACAGTCCTGTCCTGCTGAAGTGGTTGTGACACAGCCTTGGGAAAAGAGAAAAAATGAAGAAAACCCCTCCCAGGAACAGCCAGCTTGATTCTGAGCCTCCAGAATGAGTGTGAATTACACTTCTTTCCTTGAAAACAGGAGGGTTTTTTTTTTCATTTTTTTTTCCTCCCACCCCCTCCATGGTGATGAGAAACTGAAGGTCAGGAATGAGCCCCCCAAGGCTCATGAAGAACAAAATATGATGTGTTTGAACTGATGTGAAAGCTTAATGGGGAAGATCAACATCCAAAGGCTGCAGCCAAGGAAAGGGGGCTTGTTTGGGCACAGGCTGAAGCAGAGCATAGGCATTGCTGGGAATGGGAAGTGTGAAATGGTGGGGCAGGGAACACACAGCCCTTTAGCCCTGCTCAAAAATAATAGTGCAGGCTTTTTTCAACTTCAGAGTTTAGTCTGCCCTCAGTAAAAACAAGTTACATGAAAAAACTGTGCACCAGAAAAAGCAAACCTCTTTTTCCTGGTCTCTGCTTATAAGATTTACAGGTACTTAAAATAAACCTATGAAAAACAGACCCAGTGTGCTGGAATTTGCTAACTAGTGAGAGCAATTACCTCCAGGTCCCAGGACCTAACGGAGCTCGGCTTTTTGGAAATAAAACTTGGCAAGCCCTTCTTCCTGCTGCTGTTGTAAAGGTGTACATGAAAAGATGTGCTGACCTCTGCCAGAAACCCCAGGAATCCAGTTCAGAGAGATTCTCCTGTGGAGGGGATGGCTGGAATCAGGCAGCACAGATGGGGACCGGTGTGGAAAAGGCAGCAAAACCCATTCGCTTCTCATTGTGTGGCTTCAGCGTGGCAGATTCTTTGCAATTGCCTGGTGTACCACAGTAATTAAATGGGTCAAGAGCAGTAAGTTCAGATACTTAACAAGAAAATAAAGACCTCACTTGACAGCCAGCAGCAGGCTGTGCTTGTTTCACAGGAGTAAGGAGAATTAGGGCAGGTTGTGCTGTAAAAGTCGATGGGAGCCTTTTTGGCAATGATTTTGTGTTGCTGCAGAGATCACCTCCCAATTAACTGTAAGTGCTGCAGTGGCTGGAAGTCAGGTTGTCTTATGAAACTAATGCTCCAATTTCAGATGTCCTAGAAAAAGGGAAACAATAGACTCTGTTTTTCTCCTTTCAGTGATATATAAGTAAGGGAAGATAAGAAAAGTAATGAGAAAGACACAACCGACCTTTGTTAATATTGAAATGTAAAATACTCCCATTTTCACTGGACTGTTTAATGCATGAGGGGAAAATGAAGTTGTGCAATGAAATAAATATGATAGAAGTGAAATACAAGGTGGGAACTGATTTTTGTAAAAAAAACTTTCTGTTTTAGAGGGTAGAGGTAGTTTCACACCAGCATTTTGAAGGAAATTTTTTGTTGTTGTCAGTGCCCATCATTCCTGCCTGGGGAAAGGAGCTCCTGTTTCCCACAGCAGTTTTAAAAGTCCTTTGGGAAGGATGAGATCTTCCTCTTAAAATATTAAGGGACAAGTAACAAGAATCTTAAGAAAAAAATTAAAACCCATAAAATGTGTTCTGCCACAAACCAGGAGCTCTCTGCAGACCACCTCCCCTTGCAAATTAAGAGATGGGACCAGCTTTGTTGCTGTGTTTGTAAATTCTTTTGGACTGAGCACTATTAAAAGGGTTTATTTTATTTTATTATTACGTTGTGTTCTCCTGCCTGTGTCTGTGCTGATGGAAACCAATGTCTGGCAGTGAGGGCCAGATTCTGTCACAGCTTGGTACAAAACACCTCAGCTCAGTCACAGGAGGTAAATTCAGTCTCAGCTTCAGCATCTCACCAAGAATCCCTCAGAAACATTGCTCATGTCTGTGCATTGTGGTTATTAGGTGCAAGAAATACAGTTTTTAAAACTGTAATTAATCATTTCTCAGTAATCTCTTTTTCTATGCTTTTATGGCATCAATGGGTATGACTGTTTATTATGTCTTACCTATAAAATCTGACCTGTTTTATATACTCTTTATGGAAACAGTGTACAGTCATAAATTAAAAGATGCAACTGTTTTGGATATTTTACTGGTGGTCCTGTATTTTCCTGCCAAAAGTGCAGCTGTTTTAGGTTTCTTGGGATAACATTATAAAAGGCTGTGTGCGTTTTGCAAGTTTATGCTTGGATTGCCAAGCCAGAGGTGGAATGACTCAACCTTCCCAGGAGCAACATGTACCAAGTGAGGAATCAAAACAGCGGCCGAAGCGCCCCTGTGGAAAGCACTTGGTGTTTATGGGGCTGTGTCTGATGGTCAGGATGGGAGGTGGTTCTTGTGCTGCTCCTGCTGGGCTCTGGATCTGTTTGATGGGGTTTGGTGCAGAGCTGGGGGAGAATCTGTCTTGTCCTTGTCTCATGGGGTGCAGGAGCTGTGGGGTTACAGTGTGGGATGGAGCCATCCTTTAGCAGGAGCTCTGCATGTGCAGCTGGGGTGGAGCCCTTGGAAGGAGCCAAGGGGAGCCAAGAGTGGCAGTGCCAGCACAGGCAGCGTGTTTGTGCTTCCATGGCAGTTTGTGCTTCCATGGCAGTTTGTGCTTCCATGTCAGTTTGTGCTTCCATGTCAGTTTGTCCTTCCATGTCAACTCCTGCTTCCATATCAACTCCTGCTTCCATGTCAGCTCCTGCTTCCATGTCAGTTTGTCCTTCCATGTCAGCTCCTGCTTCCATGTCAGTTTGTGCTTCCATGTCAGTTTGTGCTTCCATATCAGCTCCTGCTTCCATGTCAGCTTGTGTTTCCATGTCAGCTCCTGCTTCCATGTCAGCTTCTGCTTCCATGTCAGCTTGTGTTGTTTCCATGTCAGCTCAACGCTCTGGGAGGTTTGGGGTACAATTAGATGGCTGTGCAAATGGGTGATGATGATTAATTAATGGGGAAGTTTAGAGCCTTCTTTAGCCAAAGTGATGGTGGCCTCCCACAGATCTAATTCCCAGGGTCAGTGGGCTCCAGGCACAGGTAGGAAGCAAAGGAAGCTCAGCCCTCTGGTTATCAGAGCAGCCGGCACAGCTCGGGGGAGTGTTGGGCATTAAGTGGCAGAGCTGAAACCCTCCTGTTCCTCTGGTGGTGTCCTTGTCTGGGCAGGACCTGTGGGAGTGGGGAAATGAGCCACCCCCAAAGGGAGCACAGAGACACAAACCCGGGGTGCCCTTACCCCGGTGCCACCAGGGCTGGCGGGGGCAGCCTGGTGGAGGAGTGTCATTGCTTTAACTCTCACAAGCTTCACCCTGCTGTGGGCAGCTCCATCTCCTTGCTTTCTCCTGAAATGTTCTCTCATCCTCGCTGTGCTGTGAACCCCGGGGTGTTTGATGTGTCTGAAATGACGCTGCTCTTTGCTGCAGGTACCTCACCCACGTTCGAGCCGCCTCCCCGCAGGACCTGGCTGGGGGCTACACGTCCTCGCTGGCTTGTCACCGGGCCCTGCAGGACGCTTTCAGCGGGCTCTTCTGGCACCCCAGTTAGCCCGGGAGCACCAGGCTGTGACCAAGGGACACGCAGCGGGGCGAGGAGCGACGCGAGGCAGCGAAGGCGGGGCGGGATCGCGTCCGCCCGCACCGGCCGGGCTGCGCTCGCTGCTCTGTGCCCCCCTCTGGTGCAAACCCGGCTGCGCTCAAGTGTTAAAGGGAAAAACCAAACCCCCTCTGCACCGGAGCTGTGTAAAATGGCAGATACATTCTTGTGGAGGGGGAAACTCGTTACTCATGTGGCACTTTGCTGAGGGAGGCTGAAGCAATAAGCCACATCTAATGGAAGATGTGAATAACTCAGCTGTGTACGTTTGAGGCTTAAAGAAATACACTTGTAAATTTTTTTTTAAATAAAGCCAGACTTTAATAAAGTTTGTGGTTTTACTCTTATTGCAGGTTTTATTTGCACAAGCATTTAAATGCCATTTTGATTATAACATTTAGTGTCAATATTCAAGCCTGCATTTTCTTCCCATAAAACTAGTTTTCCCAGTTTAGACAAGTGGGTTTTTCCTCCTGCCAGCTGGAGGAGACAAGAAACTCTGGAAATATGCTGACACAGCTCTTGTGTGGGATCCTTCCTCCCTGTGTCACTTGGTTCTTACCTTTGCTTGGAAAACAAAGCTTTAGCTCAAGGTCTTTCAGCTGAGGTGCTCTAGAAGCAATCTAAGAAATGTCAATACAAGGCATTGTAGTCAAAATTGTGGGGTTCCCTTTTGGGGTTTGTTTGTTTTGCTTTTGTATGTTTGCTTTTTCCTGTTTACCTCCATTTGCAGCTTTTCTGTCATAAACTCAGGAGTTTATTTAGGTGGGAACATCCCTTTGGCTTTGGGGATGGTCCCTGCCACCTGATGTGATCCTTTTTGTATTCCTTGCCTGCTCCTTGTGATGGAGCCTTGACCAAGTGCAGGAGGTGGGAAGCTGCTCAGGACAGCCACCCTGGGCCATGTTTTATAGGCCACCTGCTCATAGCTGCTGAATCCTGCTCTGAGGAGTGCACTAGATGGATGGATTTTCTCTATGCTGTAATAAAGAGATGAATGAGATCTATTCCAGACTTGGTGTTTTCTTTTTAAAGAAAATGGGGGGAGATGGCAAAATTTCCATTGCCTTTTGAAATCCCCTTGGTTGTGCCCAGAACAGCTGCTGACAAGGAATGTTCCAGAAGGTAGAGGTAAGGAGATCAGATCCTTCCCTCCTCTATTCTCCTTTCTCCCAGGCTCACCCAGGCTGGCAAAGATGCACCTCACCAATGATCTCTTCCTATTAGTTTTGTAAAGCCCCAGGTCATGCCCTAATGAATGCAGAACTGCATATGCATATTAATATTTATAATTTCAATACATTCTTTAACTTGTGCATAGCTTGGCTGTTATTTATTATGCCATTTCTTGCACACAGAACTGGCAACTGCACAGAAAGCTGGAAAACCCCTGGTTATGAGCATAGTCATGTATCTGCTAGTCTGGTATCTGAAGTTATGCTGCTGGAATAACACTGACATTCAATCCTTTTACTGCTTCAAATCCTTCCCTGGGACACTGTAGTGAAAATCAGAGTGACATATTTTACAGGCTTGGCCCAGAAATGGTGATCAGAGCCTGGCTTGGGTTGGTGCCAAGCCCTAAATTGGGGCTGTGGAGCAATGTGAAGTCACAGGGACCCACAGTCTGTGTCAGGCAGGGATCCCAGGGAGGCTGCACCATTCCAGAGTGGTGGAGGAACTTATCACTGCAGCAGTGCTTGTGGGGGGCCCTGGAGAACAGGAGCTGCCTTCAGATGGTTATGGAAAGGGGGAGGCAGCAGCTGGAGAGCAGCAGAGGTGTCAGGAAACGGGACAAGCAGCAGGGCTGGGGCAGAATCCCAGCAGAGCCGTGCCTGGGAGGGGAGAACAGGCTGGAGCTGCAGGGGCTGGAGCTGCAGGGGCTGGAGCTGCAGGGCTGAGCAGGAGTGCTGGGGCTCAGTGCAGGCCAGGGAGGGAGCAGGACCCCTGGGTGAGGCAGGACAGCCTCCCTGGGGATGGATCAATGAGATCCTGCAGGAGCCCGGCTCGCTCCCGACACCGGCTGCGCAGCCAAGGGAAGGAAAGGCCGGCACACGGAGCCACCAGCAAAACAAATCCCTGGCCCTTGGTGGTGTTTGGGTGAGAACCAAAAATGCAGCAGGCTCAGGGCTGGGGCCACAGCAGCAGGGCCAGGAGGGTGACAGACATCTGGTTGCTGGGCGTGAGCTCAGAGCCTGGGCTGAGGGAAAATATCTGAAACTGAGAGGGCGAGCCGAGTTCTCCGGCCAAATAAACTATTTGTGGTTGACATTGCCCAACAATAGTTTGGATGGGTAAGAAAAGGAAATCAAAGGCAGAGGCTTTTCAAATCCCTGCAGAATACAAGCAGCCAGCCAGAAAGATCATCCAGGGACTGCAGCAGGGGAGCAGGCAGAGGTGGGGAGAGCTGGGAGAGGGCAGAGGCACAAAAGCCACGGCAGGACACGGTTTCAGGAGGACAGAACTGTTTTTCAGGTGCTGGTTTCAGCCTGGAACTGCAATGAGAGCATGAACTTCATCTGCAAACATGCAAAAGACATTAAAGTCTTTCTGGCTCTAACCATGGGCAAACACAAAGTTAGGAGTCAACTAATCTCTAACTAAATCTTGGTGTTAAAAAGAATTTTTTACTCAAAACCTCAGGATGTTGGGCTATCAGGCCCTTTTGGTATCTCAGGTTAAGCTTTTGAAAGGTTACCTTGCTTACACAAGAGTTGTTTGTGCATCTGCTAACCATAATCCAATATTCTGAAACCAGAACACATCTGTCAGGGAGAATCCAGGGCAGGGGTTATATCAGTCACCTTCCTAGACCTGACAAGACATAGAAGTCTGTTCTCCCCACAACTTGCACATCAAAATGCTACAGCAGAAAACCACCCCAGGCCCTGCCACTGAGTTAGCACAGGGCATGAAACAACAGAGAGCAGGCAAGTACCAAAACACATTTATTATAAGAGAATAAAGTTTTAAATTTTTGTAGTAGCAATTTCAATTGATCCCACAATGAGAAGAAAAGGTGACTGCAGGAAGCAAGGCTCCCAAGATAGAGCTGCAACTCAATGGGAACACAGCTCTGCTCCTCATAACTCAAGGGGTAAAACAGAGACACTCCAAATATCCCTACACAAACTAAGGTAGTCACCATAGCTCTGGTCTTCAACTCAATGCCTTCTCTTCTGAACAATCTTGGCTGGTACAGAGGCGTTTTGAGGCTGGTTTTGCTGGAAAAGGTTAGAAAAAGTAAGTTATTTAATGTACAGTAAACAGACTGACCTACCACAAGCTCTGGAAAAGGGAGCTCTGTTAAGGGATTTAACAGCAAGAGATGAGAGTTAAAATCAGGATTAACAGTCACAAATGAAAACTCTTAGAGCAATAATGGGGGGTCTTTACTGAAAGCAAAAACCTGTATGGAGCTACATTTTGACCTACATTTCAGTGCAACCTGACAACAGCATAAAAGTAAGTTTCATGGCATTAAAGCTTTATAAAAACCTCCTTTCCTCCAGTTCATGTAACTGCAGATGGGAGCCTCCCTCTGCTCCCTTTGTCATGTAGTGCAAAGCCCAGGATCATTGAAACCAACCAGTTTCTTAAATGAACAATTATAAACAAAAAAACCCCCACACAACAACCAAGTTCAGCACTGAAGATCTCCAAGGATATCTATGTCTCAGTTAAACTCAATCAGGTACAGAACCTGATTCTGCTGATGTGGTGGCTCCAGACCTCACTGAGTCTGTGTGAGCATAAGGAGAAGGTCAGAGCTGGGAGCAGTCCCTTGGGAATGCACTGATCTGGGCAAAAACACAGCTCCAGTTCAGAAGGACTGAGCTAACAGAGATGTGTGCTTGGCATTAGATCACAGAGCCACTGAATATCCTGCACTGGAAGGGCCCACAAGGATCACTGAGTCCCCATCCTCCCTCAGCCCCAGCCTGAGGCATAAAGGTCTGGTTTATGGCCTGTGGGGTGATCCTGTCCAGTCCACCATTTTCCTGGGGAGCTCATGCTGGGATCAGAGGAGCAGGCTGCTGTGAGCAAAGCAGGGAAAGCCCTGCAGCTGCTGCACACGTGCAGGCGCTGGGTCCTGCCGGCCACCTCTGTGCTCAGCGCCGCAGCCACGCCGCTGTCACACACCCGGAGCGGCCCACGGGGCTGAGCAGGTGGGACCAGCCTGAGGTGCAGCCTGAAATCCCAATGCCACCTGGGAGGTTTGCTCCTTACCTTCATCAGGGCAGGGCCTCTTGTAGAGCACGTCTGCTGGGATCTGGAAACTGAGGCACAGCATCTCCTTGTTGGGCGCCACGTTCCTGACCAGGAACGTGGAGCAGCGCCCAGCCAAGGAGGTTCCCAGCACGGCTTCCGCTCTCTCCTGAATGTCTCTGGCTGGGTCACTGTGTTTGGAGAACCCATAGCAGTGCACAGTGGGGAGGCCAGCAGGGCTGCAGGGCTCCCCCACCAAGAGATGCCTGAACACATCCAGGAACTCCACAGCCAGAGCTGGCAGATTCATCACTATGTGGAACGCCCTTCTGTGCTCCTCCCCCAGGAGCGGGAGCTCTTTGCTGAGCTCCTCCCTCACCGGCCCCTGCAGGAAGGCCCTGCCGTCCATGTTGAACACCTTCACCCTGGTGTGCACTTTGTTGAGCTGGCAGTTGTGCAGCAGCCAGGTGTAGGAGTCGGGGTTGAGGTCATTGGCAAACACTCGGCACCTCCTCTTGGCGGCCGGGATGGCGAAAGGGCCGATGCCAGCAAAGACATCGAAGAGAACATCGCCGGCCCTGAGCAGCCCCACGATGCGGCCGTGCTCGGTGGACAGGCGAGGGTTCCAGTACACCTTGGAGAAGTCCAGCTCGTAGCAAATGTTATTTTCTTTGACCTGGAAGTCCAAAATATTTGGTTAAGCCTCTGTGTTCAAATGGCAGGCAGATTTAAGCATTATTGATAATTAAGAAAATTAAAAACCAAGGTGCCTTATGGAAAGGTAACATATACATCAGCATTGTCCCACTGGTAGCATATGTGAATCTTAAATAAACAGATCAGCTAAGCAATCAAATAAACAGATTTTAAATCTTTAACAGATAACTCATCAGAAACAGCCATGTCCCCAGAGTCAATCCTGATAGCTGGCTTTATACAGGTCTCCATCACCAGGTGGAAATAAAGCAGCAACTTAAAATGACCCTACAAAAATCTAAGGGTTTTCAAGAGCTTTGTGGCTGGCTGACAGCTCCTTTATTGAAAGCAGACCTTGGAAAGATGCCTCAAGCCCTCCTTTGTGAAGTGCACACAGTAAATAAGTGTCTGAGAATGATAGGCCCAAGAACAGGAACCGTCAGCCAAATTCAAAGCCACTGGGAGCCAGTTCTGAGCTTGAGTAATACTGTATTTCATCTCCCAAGGTGACAGAGTCTGGAAGCTGATCCAAACCCAAGCTTTGGGATGACCACTATCTCAAGAACAGACCTGGAAAGGAACAGTATTTATTCAGATGAGAATGGGATGCAAGCTAATACTCTCTTTGCACCAGCATGTGGAATTGTCTGATTCCAAAGTAACTTGGGATCCAGATCTCCACACTGTTTGCTTTGCCAGCAAGAAACACCCTGAAGTGTCTCTGCACTCCTGGATGCAGCTCCACGGTGTGCCAGGTGTGTGGTGACACCATCTGCATAACATTCAATTGTCACTGCTGCCTTGACAATCCAATGGCTTTCTCTCTGCATGAACAGGATGTTCCACCAAGCTATTCAACTTTTACTTGGTAATCTCATGTTTTCTCCTTTCAAAGTATAAAGCTGCTAACAGATAAGAGAAAATATTTTTGTGGAAGCAGTGGCCAAGTTTCCATTTACAGACAAGAAACCCTATGTGAAGAACACTTGGCAGTTACACAGTGATTGCACCTGATAAATGTCAGAGCAGAGGAGACAGGAGATTTGTCTTGCTGCTGACAGGAGAGGAAAAAGGCAAAGGCAAAACGTTGCCTAAGTTGCAA